TTTTTGATGATTTTTAGAACATATAACAGTATACTGCAGGAAATGCAGTTTTGGGGACTGTCAGGAAGAAGAGAATATAACATAAGAACCGAGACGCAGCTTGTTCTATGGGCAAAAATAAATTCTAAGAGGGCAATTTATTAGTTCAGGCCCGCGGCATGTTTTCCTTTGATCTTTCTCCAAAGCCTCCTGTGCCATGCATGCAGTGTTTGTCTTTAAGGAAGAAAATATTTTTTGCTGTAGATGACTATACAATTAGGGAAAAGACTATTCAATTTCTTTAATCACTCTGTGCGTTTTAGGGAAAAAAAAAGTCATACCAGAAATAAAAGCAACTTTTTCTGGTGGAGAACTATGCTTTGTGATATGGTTTTCCAGTCCTTTCGTGTAGTTTCAGAATGAACTAAGTGTAGTCTGTAAGCTGTGAGTGTTTATGGTATCTCTGTGTTGAAAATCAAGATGTCAGACAGAGAGACATTCTATTTTTGTTCAATTAATATCGGAGAGCATTACATCAAAGCAGTAAACTCCTCTTGTAGCAACAGATGCAGCAACCCTGAAGCCTATTTTCTCTCTTGTTACATTAGTGTTTAATTAAAGAAAACAACTAGTTGGAGGCAGTTACTTTCTGTGAAATGTAATGAAGATTTATTTTGTAAGTGACCTTCACTGTATTAGCTGAAACAGTAATCAGTAAAATTAATAGAATAATCAAATTATATACAAACTCATAAATCATCATGAATATGCTGTCAAAAATCCAGCTCTTAATATGTCCTATTGTTTCGCAGCTGTATTAAAAATTACAACTGCTGATTCCTGCCTCGATAGGAACTGAAATGGCATTTAAAGGCTGTGTATGATGGAGGGCTACCAGGCCAAAAATTTTCACAACTGTTAATTTAGCTGTAATATGATTTGATGTCAGCAGGGCAAAGTTGAAGCGGAGTACAGTGTTGTTGCTATCTTTCAACAAAAGCTGAATTACTGGTGAAGGCAGAAGCCAGTTAGAGTAATATCAGTTTAAATGTCTGTCACTTAGGGTTAATAGTATCAAAGAGTTCCCTTGTACTTCCAGTACAGTCAAATCTTCTTGAATAAGCTACTGTATGAAAGTAATGTTAACACAATGATTTTAATTTACCATAAAATATTGGGATGCTATTTAGTTTAATATTTCAATTTCTATATTTAAATAATTTTGGCAAGTTCTTCTAAATCAAGTCTTTTTCATGTTTGGCTGTTTTAATAGGTGTTTCAGCTCTTTGTAATTGTTTAACATAATACAATCAAAATTCCTTTCTATTTTCATTTAGAAGGAAAAGGTTTTTGCTGGCCTAATATGAAAACAGGTCATGCCCTCCTCCACTGGGTAGCAGACCACTCTTGAAAATTAGTCATTCACATTTTTGCGCAGCCAAGCAGCAAAGTTCTTTCAAAGCATGCTGGATAAATAAAGTGCATTTATCAAAACGCCCTTGAATGTGGTTGAAGTTAAAGGAAAGATATAATTTATACATTTTTTTTTTTTCACAAAGGAATGTTGCTTATAGTTAGGTAAATAGTCCTAATTTTTTATGTTCAGTAACATGAGATGTGTAACTTGAGTTGGTCTGGAAGATCTTAACACTTGCTTTATCAGGTTAGAAGCCACCAATTGCAGCCTTACAGATGGTAAGTTCCAAGGCTCTAGAATATTTCTGAGTGGATGTTTAACCTTTGGATCATCTTCTGCAACCAACCTCTGGCCTACCAAAGGTGGGATACAGCACTGTGTATCTTCCGCTTATTTTTGCCTGGGTAGAAGCTGTGTTTATGGGGCCTGGATCTTCTCCTTTACCCAGTAGGTGATACTGTTGGTCTGTCTGTAGAAGGCCAGGTCTGGTGCAGAACTGAGGGGAGATGTCAGCTGGTAGCACGTTTAGCTCCTTGCCATGCCGCATCGTTCACAAGCTTTAAAAGGTCCTGTGATGTTAGTGTCTTTGAACTCAATTTGTGCATTCCAGTATGGATTCCATTATAGGAAGTAAGTTTGCAGAATTAAAGGTTTTTTCATCATCTTTGAATACTGTAAATGTGACATTATTGCCTGGTATTCTTGTATGAGGCATAAGGAGTGAAGAAGATGTGAATGTTCCTCGGTTCATTTTGCTTGTCTGTAGTGGCAAGATGGAAATATATCACATATCCTGGCAACAGCTAAAGCTTTTCAAAACTGACAAACTGTTCTTTTCCTTGCATCAAAACATATTTATTAATTTGTGCTTTAATATTATGGACCACCTGGTAATCTGCCTGATGAGCAGCACAAGGTTATGTACTTTTCCTCTAAGAAGAAGCAGGTCCTTCTTCTGCTCGGTCGAGTGATATTTATTAAAGTTTTATTTATTAAAGTTTTTTGTGGGAGTGGGGAGGGGGAGAAAGGATTATAGAACACTGCTTGAAACTCCTTTCTAGCCTTTACCACCTGTGCTCAGTTTAGAGAGGATAAAGAAGAGATACCGCAGTAGAGGAAGACAGAAAATTTCCAAAACCCTCTCTAATACATGGTGCCCAATATAAACATCAGAAGGACCCCAGTATGAAAGAGTAGCTTGACCCAGAAATGGACTTCGCTGTTGAATACCAGAATTTTCCTATTCCTGTATGTGGGGGGAAATGAACAAGTTGAGCTTTGACTCAAAAGGTGCTTTTGTGTCCTCATCAGCTAATAGAAGGTGTGGATGCACCTCAGGACAGCCTTCGGATGTTCCTTCCGAGGAAGGGTGACGTCTGTTGAGAGCATGAGGAGGGAAGGACCTCTTTGCAGTCTAGAACTGTGTCTAGAACTGTGAACCTGTGAGACTTGAAGGTTAAGTGATAAACTGGAATTTTCTAGTTTGGGACAGAGTGATCCTCCTTTATCCAAACTTACATCCTAGCATAAGAATGAGCAATTATAACAAGCATGGTGTTGTGAATATGATCACATGGATGTTGAGTTTGTGGTTCTTGTGAAGCAAAGTTCATTGTTAGCAATTTTCATGTTACAATGTTTTGTTTCGGTCTCTGCAGTAATTCTTAATGCAAAATTTTTTGAGGTCACACTGTAGGTTTGAGTCACACACAAGTAGGTTTGAGTCCATTGATGGGTTGTCTATGTGTTTTACCATTTTTCCCCTTCCCCTGTTTATACGGCCAGTCTTTCAAATGGTGTGAGATAATAACCCATAATCATGGTCAAATACTGCCTGTACCTTTTGAACAATACTTTTGAATAGTAAGGATGACAGAAAAGAGCAGAGGTGGCATAGTTCATAGATAATTCATAGGGCAAGGAAAGAACAGTCAGATATTATGGGATAGCATTTGACAGTTGTCTCTGATGGGGCAGTTCTCTCAGGATAAAGGACATGCAGTTTGTACAAATACACAGTTTATTTGTGCTCTTCCAAATGCATAAGAAGAGGTCAGTGATAGCTAATTGATATGAATGAACCACTGGAGAGTCTTAAGGAAAATTAAAGATTCCCAACACTGATCACTCAAAACGATCCAATCCTGAAATGTTATTGTAAGGACTTGGGCAAATCTTGATGTCCCAGATGTTGTATGATCACCCTAGGATGAGTGCATTTTCTCAGATGATTGAAAATTAAAGGTAAAGGGCTAATCATGTGAATAGTTAGGAAAGTCGTGTGGCTTGCCGTGACAACAGAGTCTTTCCAAATGATGAAAGCTTCAGTAGGTCTCTAAGTCCGTTTTGAAACGCTGTCATTCAAAACCCTGTACGCTGTACTAGAGTGTGATATAGTGAAGGATTTCTGTAGTTTTGCTGGTAAGTTCTTGGAACGTTTAGTTGTCAGGAGTCCCCAGTAAGGAGTATGTGTCTGTGGGCAGGAGCCCGTGTTACGGGGCAGGGAGGGGATGCTGCTGCACCGGCCCCGTCCCGCAGCGCGTGGCGAAACGCGCTCTGCGCACAGCGCCGTGCCGCGCGCTGCTCCGTGCTGAGCCTGCCATGCTGACCCTGCCGTGGCACGGGGGCTCTCGCCTTATCCACTGCACTGCAGCAAACAGAAAGCAGAGAACTCTAACCACATTGTTACAGCATTTCTTGCTAAAAAGATACGACAGAATCTTTATTAAAAAGTATTTGTAAAAGCTGGTATAAACACATATGCAAAAATAACTTCCTCGTGTTTAAATGTCCTAATGTAATTTCTTTGAATTGAGTCTCCCTGTAGTTTAAGAGCAGAAGAGTTGAGATATTTGCATAACTTTTGGATCATTTAATTTTCTTTGCCTGTCTTACATGCTAGGATTTCTGTGTGAGTGGAGAACTTAATATCGAATAGCATAAAATTATCTAGTTTTCATACAGTTGACCTGTGAAGCTGGTTCACTTTTCTGTCCAGGAGATGTTTTTATCATTATCCCACAACAGATTATCTTGGGCAGCTGTGTCTGATCGTGAGCAGAAGGTGGAGGTGTTCACACTTGGAAGAAGGCACCTTTCAGACCGCAAGAAGTCTGCGTTCAGTGCAGCCTTGGACCTAGTGCTCCCAAAGTATAAGATGCTAATAGCCAGGAAAATTACTGTGCTATGTAAGAGTAGAGAAAGAAATTCGGAAATTACGTATTAGGAATTTTGGTTTTGTTTGTTTGTTCTATTTTAATCCTTATTCTTTGCTATGTAAAATGCAGTTTGGTTGGCAGATATTCTGTGAGCCTTCAGTAAACTGGTGCTGTTCTGGACTGAATGGCTTGGGAGTGACATCCCAGAGAAATGAATACCCAGCTATTTAGGGGCTATGATAAATGCTAATACAAAAAATGTTAATAAAAGATCCTTTACAAAACCATTTGATGTAGTTTATTTTCATTGTCTGTTGCAGAGATGAAGACATCATTAAAAATGTGCAGCAACGTGCAGAGTACTTTGCCTTGCTTATTGCCAATACTCAGATTGCTTACAGTCAGTTAGGACAGGAGTAACTTTTGTTTTTCCTGCTGTGTTCCAGGATGTGTGCTGTGTTTGGGGGTATCTATTGTCTTCGCCATTCTGTGCAGTGCCTTGTAGTGGACAAAGAATCTGGACGGTAAGGGAAATACAAGTAACCTTCTGCCTATATACAAAATACAGATGAAAAATGCATTAAGTCAGTTTAAAAAAAATGATTCTTCAAAGATCCTCCTTGGTATTAATAACACATCAACCTTGATTAAAAGTAATTTGTGTTTAGGTCTTCCAGAACAAGGAAAGTGGGTCTAGAATATAGAAACTAAATTAATTTCCCCGTGATATTACTACAGCTCCTGATCACCCAAGCTTGGAAGACAAATCATTTCAGCTGCCGGGGGGCTGGTGATGAGTGATGTTAGTTTTCCTTGTGGCCTTACCTACTCTAATTGATTTTCATCAGATGACAACAAAGCCCTCTGTTATTGCATTTTTAAAAATGGAGCTCACCTAAAGACTCATCAGATTAATCTTTGCTGATAATGCATGTCACTCCAAGAGAAAAGACTTTAATGAGTTTTGGGGTAGATTGTTGTCATAAACTATGCTGGCCTCTTATCATAGGATAAATTCTTCTACAACAATATCAGGCCTGTAGGCAGGTTTAAATTTGAGCAAAGAAAAATCAACGCAAAGTTTTGCCCATACTGGCATTTTTCACACCCCTGAAGATCATCATGTTGCTGTTACATGGATTCTAAACAGTTACTAGTCTAATACCTGTGCTAATTCTTTCTGCTCTTTTAAGAGGCTTTGCAGCTTAGTTTTGGTGATTGAAAATTTCAAAATATTGTGTTGAAAATTTTGAAAATTAAGCTGTGAAACACATAGTAAGGCTGTATGATAATATTTTATTAGAACAATTAGTAATTAAATTATCAGTATAATATTTTTGCTTTCCAGCTGCACACCACAGTTGATACTTTTAGCATGGTATTTAGAGCTAAATTTATCATGACACGGTCAAGTAGCATCTGTTTTTCTTAATTCTCTAAAGAACAGTTTATTTTTCCATTAGTTATTTGAAGTTGAAAAGTTTATAGCTCAGTTTTAGCCCTGGAGATGCAAGTGTGATTATATTTCATCTTATGTGTTCGCAAGTGCATGTTCATATGCATATGTCTCTTCCATAAACTCTGTTTTTAATAATAATATTTGAAATCATGCTAGGGAGCTTTATTTTCCAGTGTTATTTGAATGCTTATTTCAGAGGGAGAAAGCTGAGTTGCAGGTTGAGTCAACTCCCAGACATCACTTTGTGGAGTTCTTGCTCCAGGTGATGCTGGTTCCCTTTGTTTTCGGTTTATTTTGCTTGTTTTCAGGATACTAGAAGTGAGCTTTTTTTCTGCTTTGTGTGTAACAAGTTTGTCAGAGACCCCAGTAGGTTTCAAGACTCTGTTTAACCTACAAGGCTGATTTAATGGCTCTCTTGTGCTCTTTTCCCTCAAAACTGTGGAAGACTTTACCAGACTCTCTCATTATTCTAGAAAACATTATCTTCCTAATAATGCCATTATCTGCTGTTGAATATGAGGCAGCATAAGCCATGGGGGGTTCTCCTGTCTGGTCACCTGCCTCTAGCTGTGAACCACTTACCTTCCTGTGACATTTCAGTGCAGGCACAAACATGTAGAGAGCAGTATATTCCTTACCTCATGTTTTAGCTTCGTTTTCTGTTCGTTTCCTCTCTCTGGAATGTGATACAGCTTTTTGCTTCCTCCTGAAAGTCTTTCACCACAGTGTAACCTGGCAAGCTAACTTGCTTGTTGATAAGATCATCCCTAATTTCTTTCCCTCCCTGTGTTTTTGTGTTACCTCTTTTGTGTTACCTACTGTGGATTTCCCCCCTGTGCTAGCTCTGATTCCCGCTTGACTCCGAGCTTTGCTGTTTTGCCTGCTAAAGATCAGCTATCAAATCGTTAATGAGGGTATTTATGAGTAACGGAGCTTTAGAGTCAACAGGCCATTAATAGTAATTGATAATAGACAAATCCATGTGTCTGTCACAGACCACCTGTAGTTTCAGGGGCGGCTTACGGTGTTGATTACAAACATTTTAATCTCTGAGCAGTAGAAGTTGAGAAAAGAAGGGGCAGTAGAATTTCTCCCAAATATACGGTTGTATTTATTATGTTACTGCAGTCCTTTTTATGGCATATGTATTTTGGGGATGATGGTATGAAAGCATGGGAATTTTTAAATATAACTTCTTTTAAGGTTTTTAATAATCCTTTTTTTTTTTTCCTGACAACATCACATTAGGTCTGTCCAAACCTCCTGCACTCCTGATAGAACTCTGATGCCCAGTTAGAAAAACAATAAATAATACATCATGTTGCTTTGCTTAAGGAAAAAGAAAATAGAATGTATTCATGATTTTTTACTTTTAGTAGTGGGTAGTCACTTATTTTGTCTTATCTGATGAAATGTAAGATAATCTAATTTACACGGATTGCATTGAAAAGAACAGTGGGCATTTTGTGTTGATCACAGTTTAAATATGTTTCCAATCACATATTTCTACCTCAAAAATGGAAAAGATGTGATAAATGTAAATTTATATATCTGTAATAAAAAGATATAGCAAACACATAGTAATTTACATATCTTTCTTGAAATATTGCATACTGGCTTTGTCAGTGCTGGTAAGTCCATTTCAAGGATGTCGCCCTTAGTCCATTAGTTTGGATAATGAGCCCTATAAAGTACATTTATAACTCGTGGCACTGCAAGGAGATGGATTCTAATTTTCATCCTTTTATCTAGACACATTGAAAGAAGGTCAATGGAGGGTTCTGTATGATTCATTGTCCCAACACATATCAGATGACAGAGACCTGATAATGTCAGTGCATAAGTGTTTTCCATATTTGGAAGCAGTACTTGAAAGAAATTTTCTCAGCATCATCCTTTGAAGTAGAGACCGATTTTAAACGCGCAACCCCTTTTGTTTTCTGCCTCAAATCTTATCAAACTTATCAAGCTATTCTTGAACAGAGGAGAGGAAACAACACTTAGCAGGAAAATAAAGGTGTGTAGTTGTGTTTGCTGACTTTAAGGGATGCAAGACGACGTTTAATGAACCTTTTCCCCCACCCACCCCGAGTGTCAGTGGGGGAAGAGCAAGGAAACTGTTTCATAAACAGTAAAAAGGTTATAATTAATGATGAACTGAACCAGCTTGACTTCCTTGTTTATTTGCAGTATTTAAATAAGCACTTGAGAGTAGCATCAGTTAGGCTAGCAATAAGGAAATAAAACTTCCGAAAGTAGCGGGTAAAGCACATGTTGAAGAGAGCTTGACTCTGTGTGAAGGGTTCTGCATGTGCAGAGTTAAGCTGTCCCCACCGTCAGGCCTTTCCACTGATGTGCAAATTCTCTTGAATTTGAATGTGGTCGTGGATGTATAATACACATGGCTGTGGACACACTATGAGTAGTTAGTATTATAACAAGTTAAAGGTGATAAGTGTGAAGTAGAAGCCTTATATCTACCTTTTTTTCAGTTCCATATCACACATTGAAAGGAGGGAGACATTCTAGACCTACAAAAGCAAGTGTCAGTTGATTATGTTTGTTTATTTAATTTTGATTTTAATCATCTCTAGTTCAATATCTGTTTGCAGATGCTGATGAATAACTTAAATTTACAGAAATATTTATTCTTGAGGTATAATTTGCCTGTCAGCTATTAACTATACAAGAATAGTGTGATGCAGTGGTAAAATATGTTTAAGTATGTTTAGGACTTACAATTTGAGTCTTGTATATTAAAGCAGTTGAAATATACATCAGGCAAAAGGCAAAGCTAATTTGCTTTACTTTTCCAACTGTTACTTATTTTTACAATAAATGTTCTGATATTGTAGAAAACCTAAAGATATTTTTTACAACTCAATATTAAGTCCTAAATATTCTTATGATATAGACAAGTGATAAAGAAAGAAATTGTAGTCTAGTTATTTATTTGCACTTAAAACAGTAAAAGTTAAGTTTATAATAGTTAAATAGGTGCCCTCTGAAACTATGAGAATTTTTAAATAGTATGTGCAATTTTTCAGTTTGAGAAGATACGTAGAATTAAATAGAAACACAGCATATAGCAGTTAGCAATATGGGTTTTTTGAATACAGATGTGCAACTTTTGTTTCATTTATATCAAAATTTTTTCATATATTTCAAACTAGTTTCACCTTTTTTCTCTCATGCATTTTTTTCTCAGTAAAATTTAAAATTTGCATCCTGTTCACAGTTTGCTTTTTGATTCTTACCTTTCTGTGGTTTGCATTTCTGTCCTATTTGTAGGAGCTAGTCTGTTATGTTGCACTCTATAATGTACCAAAGTATAAAATATTACTGGAGCCTCAAGTGTTCCGGCACTGTCATCCCCATATCATGAGGCAGGAAACATGCCATTTTCTTGTACAGAGAAGTGTCAGTGTTATAAGCCTATATTTTGCTTTAATAATAAAATGAGCAATTTAACTTTCTAGCATTGTTGCGGGTAATTCAGAACAAAGAACTGTATACATTATGTAGATTTGTTTGTCTAAGATTTCTGTTTGAATTCCAGTTGAATTATTTTAGGGCTTGCATGTTAAATATTTATAACAACTTATGTGACAGATTTAAATGTTTTTCTCTGTCATTTAATTTCAAAAACTTAATGAAATTATGAATACGTTTATGGATGATTTCCTTTTTTAATTTGATTTGAATGTTTTTTTAACAGATGCAAAGCTGTCCTAGATCATTTTGGACAAAGAATAAGTGCCAACTATTTTGTTGTGGAAGATAGTTTCCTTTCAGAGAGCACATGTAAAAATGTGTGTTACAGGTATGTAATAACATACTAAATATGTCTTAATACTAGAGTGTAAAGATTATTTCCCTCTGCTTTATCTTTATAGTGCAACCAACTTATTTCTGTGCATAATCTTTCTTGTATATACTTGAGAACATACTGTGTCTGCTATTTTTAGGCTTCCTTTAAATTATGTTCCCCTTTTCCTTATGAGAATACCCAACATTGGGGATTTCATATATGCTGAAATGTCCTTGGGGCATGGAGGTGCCTGTTGCACTGTTCTCTCTTTAAATTTGTTCAGGTTTTTTTTAACAGAAAAAAGGTGTTTAGGTGTTCAGGTGTTTAACAGAAACATGTTAACAGTCGCTGCTTTCTCACACACCTGCTCTCCACCCCTACCCCTTCTGGCATCTGGTCCAAAGCGTTTCAGTAGAGCCTGAGCATATACTGCCTTGTCTTCAAAATATTGTAGGTGAGGTAAGGACAAAACAGTAGTGTCAAATGCAGCCAAGAAATAATCGTAGTAAACAAAGGATTTGACACTTTAATTCATGAATTTCACTGTAGTTTATTTTTGTTAAGTCCAAAGTGTCCTGTGCTCTTCGGAACTTAAAAAGTCTTCTAACAAGCTACTACTAATCTTCATAAAATAAATAAAACAATCTTTTAAATCAGAAGGGTGTTCAAGCCGATTTACAAAGTAGCACCAACTTTTTTTATTGGTCATCTTTTTTGATCTTTGAAAATACTACATTAATGTTCCAGACATAGACCTAATACAGCAAAAGACAAATTACCACATTTACAGTGTATGCTCAATGCAATGTGTGCATAGTCATATTAATAAAGATTGTATATTTTACACTGACACATTATTATGTTTAGATGTGTATTGCCAAGACACTGAATCCGAATTGCTATTTTTTCTGTTTTTTTGTGAAATGTCACAATTGTTTTATTTAATTGTAGGCAGATCTCCAGAGCAGTGCTCATTACAGATCAGTCCATACTAAAAACAGATTCAGAGCAGCAGGTATATATGTATTTTATATCACTTACCTCTTATGAATTGCATGTATTAATAGCTAATTGTTGGAGTTAATTCATACTTCTGTTCTTGCTTGAATCCAGCTTTTTGGTCAGCTTGCTCCGGAGACAGGTGTCAGTCATTAGTCTCTATAAAACCATATCTTCTAGTTAAGTGGCTTAGGTTTCTTGTTTGTTCGTTGGCTATACTAATTAACACAATTGTCAAGCTGCTATTTTATTTGTCTTTTAAATTTATTGCCATTAATACTCTGGCTGTTACCTGTTAATCAGTTATGTTGTCTATGCTTTGTTCAAAACTTGTTTTAGCATTCACATTTACAGCTTAAAATTCCACGCGTGCACATTCAAGTCCTTTAAATACTTCTGTTTGTCAGTCTTAAATGCCCTTTAAAATCAAGTTCTGTGATCAGAGTCAAAAGTGTTTCTTCTGTTCAATTTGTCATATCGTGTGTTACATTAGGGCCTACACAATGAGAATATAGGTGGCAGGGAAGTCTGTTCTTCCTGTGTCTTGTTACCAGCCGTCCGCCTTGGGAGTGCCCTTCCGTTCTCACCTAGCTGGGCTCTTACCCAGGGCTCAAAACCCTTTTGCAGTCACTTGCCACCAGCACTTCCCAAACGCTCCATGGCTGAGGATGAAAAGCAGTTACCAGATAAAAAGCTGAGCACCATCATTTCAAGAGGGCTGCAAGGTGATGTTCTCCGGCCGTTTCGATGCTGCCAGCCTTTCTAATGAAGGTGGCTGTGCTTACTGAGATCTTTTGTATCTGCAGCTCTGCAGGGTTGATCCCAGAGATTCTCTTACCAATAAACCAGAAAATAAGATTGTACCAATAGGACTTCAGTTATATTTCATTTCTCCTGAGAATTCCGTTAGCCTTCATGTTACTCTGTTTTGACATAGGTTTATTTTTTTTTCCTCACACACATTTCATAAAAGAAGCATCTGTCATGGGTTGTATGTAGCCGAGTTCACAAAAACTACTGTGTAGCATTGTTTATCTCTTGTGTAAATACGTATTTATGGGGTAGTTGAACTTTGCAGACTACTGAGCAAATACAGTTATGTTTGTGGTGATAAACACATCTAGGTATGAAATTCTTGCAATTATTTGTGAGATTCGCCTAATTTTTTATTTTTGCAAAGGTATAGAAATCTGAAAACTTTGTTTTTGGTAACAAGATTGTCTTTAAGTAACCTCACAAGTCAATGTGGTGTTCATGTATACGTATACCTGGACAGCATAAGTCTGTTACGTGGCTGTTGATCTAATAGTTACCTGTGGTGTTTTAATATTGAATTTTACCTTTTGAAGGGGTTACCAAACCAATTCCACTTGAACTGCTAATAGTGTATTAATGGAGTTGCAGTTCGCAGTACTTCAGGACAAGATAATACAGTATAAATTAAACTACTTTTTAAGTTGGATTGATATTCAGAATTTTCTTTTCTCTTCCTGCTTGGTAGGTTTCCATTTTGAGAATGCCTCCAGTGCATAGAGGGCAGCCAGCCGTTTGCGTCATTGAGTTGTGTTCCTCAACCATGACGTGCATGAAGGATACCTGTAAGTATCTTAACTGTATTTTTTTCTTGGGTTATATCAGCTCTGGAAGAAAAATTTAAAATGTGTCTTTGGCGATCCTTTGTTGCACAATTATCATATTAGTGTCTGAGAAAACAACCTACACTAGCTTACTGCTACCAGAAGTCTTCATTCCATAGCAGTTGTGAGGTCTTTCCATTGAGATAATAGAATTAGATGTTATTCTGATCTAACACTTCTTTATATATAATATATATATTATAATATATATAAAAGCAATTTATCTTATTATTACCTAGACTTGAGCTCAGGTTTTTTCTTGTGGAAGAATCATGAATTATATGATCAAGGCCTTTAAAGTGGTGCTTCTGACTTTAAATAATAAAAAGTAATTTAGAAATCTGTTTGTTTAATAATTGTAAATGGGGAAAAAAAGTATTTTGTTAATCACTAGGTTTAGCTTCTCAGATCTGCCACCAAAAATATGAAGCAAAAATTAAAACTAAGAAAACATTAAAGTTCCAGCAACTATAAATGATTAATTTCATGAGAATTTCTGTGATACTGAAAAACTTTTTTTTACGGCAGTTGTTATAGGTATAGTTAAATTCAGTCTCTCCCCTCCCCCCTTTTTTTTTACTTTTACATCATTATCTGTAAGTGGATTTTAACCTGACTTATTTCTCCTTCAAACAATTATTTAAGATAAGTATACAAATACATCTACTCTTTGATCACACTGCATAAATGACAGGCAGATAATCTGTACTGCCAGCTGAGTGGAACCAAACTCCTTCACTTGCCCTAAAAATTGAGACTGTAATGATGAAATCATGAACTAAACTCATCGCTCTTCCTGCTGGAAGAATTACTTGAAGACAAATGTTGGCAACCACTGTAACTAATGCAGTTATACCTGAGTAAATCAAATATAATCAAAATATATACTGATGACTGTGACTCATAGCCATAACCTTAAAGATAATAAAAAAGATTTTATAGAAAGTAAATGATGTGAATTTTAGTGATTTATAGCTTTTTTTTTCTTTATGAAAAAGCATACTGTGTTTGAAGTAGTAAACATTTAGTTAAGGTTACAGGGAGACTTTCATTATTACCAGCTTTAACATGAGGCTTTTAAGTGTCTGAATAGATGTAAAATCAGATGGGGTAATGCAGCAGAGTAGCTGCCTTCTATCTGAAGAGACCAATGGGACAGAAAAGAGTTATAGCAAATGATTATTTATTTGAAAAATGCAACAAATAAAGTTGCTAAAAAGATTCCCCATGAAACATGCTGTCACTTTGTTTTCATGAAAACGAGTATGTGAATGAGAAATTAAAGTGTGAAACCGGTATTATTTGAGAAAAATTATGAACTTTGTCACAAATACAAAAATGGATGTAGTTAGTAATGGTTTGCCCATGCTGTAAGGTTGGTTTTTTATATGGATGCATAAATGTTCTTACAATCCAAAATCTTTCAGCATCATCTTTTTTCTGTGTGAAATTGCTGTAGTCTCTGGTTTCTGATGTGTACAGAGCACTCCTCAAAATCAGGTCCTTGAAATCAGTTTTCCAAACATCATAAGTATTTCCTAGCCAATGCAACCTAATTTCACCCTGTTTTTTCTTCCTATAGGAAGGTGAATGAATGAACCCACTTGAGCTGTAACTTGAAACCTGCATTTATTCATTTCATCTCCCATTTATTCTTTAGCACAGTAAAAGTCTTGCTTAGACTTCTTTCTTCAGTGGAGAAAGATGCCTTCCCCCTTCCTCCTGACCATCCAGACTTACACTGAGCGCAGAGTGCAAGTGATGGAGTGAGGGTCTCTGCGCTCACTGCCTTAGTGCTCTGTTTGGCTGTCGAGGCGGTGATGAACAAGGTTCTTGGTGGGAGGTGTTCATCTGGTTTTCTGCTGATGCTTTTTCTTAACATGGTCTTTTTCCTGTGATCTGGAGACACCTATTCCTAGAAAAATATTCTCTGCACTATTGATGTTAAATTTTAGTTCCATTTTTACCAATTTCTATGGAGGATAATTGTTCAGTTCATGTGTTGACCACTGAACTTCTCAGAAAAGGAATGAATGGCTTCTTCTAGAATGAGTATCCTTCATGCATTGCATGGTAGTTGATCCCATAGGGGTTCGTGTTTTTAAAAGTAATTTTGTATTAAGTTATTATTTTGCAGTTGCGCTTAACATTTTAAGTGCACAAACATGAGCTGAGAGCTACTTACTGCCTGTTTTAGAGCACTTCAGTCTGCAGCTTCTGTGCCTGCTGAGGTCAGTGCCCACTCATAATGATATTAAGAATATTTTCATAACTAAAAATGTACGTACGCATCACTGTGGGGGTTGTATATACGTATCTGTATAGAACAAGATATGATGCACAAACACAGACGCACAGGATTTCCCTAATAACATTACTTCTCTGGTCTAAAGGGAGTAATTTATATGAAGAACAGTGATTTCTAAAAGCCTGCTGCGTCTTTCAAAAATTGTAAATGATATTTATATATCTCTGTAGTGGTAATTGTAATTAATTTCTGTTCGCTTTTAACAGATCTAGTTCATTTAACCTGTCCATCAACTAAAACTGCTAGAGAAGATTTAGAGCCTGTCGTGCAGAAGTTATTCAATCTAAATGCTGAAATGGAAAAAGGTAAAAATAAATAAGTTAAATATTAAGAGGTTATCTTGTGTAAAATAATTTAGCCTTTTAACTAAAGTAGCTACTGCTGAACATATGAATCTGTCATCAGAATCAACACAGGTTGTGAACTGCTCCTTAGAGCTCAGTGTTTCACAGGAATGGGTTTGGGGAGGGGGCACGTGAGTAGATGGTGTCAGTTTTCTCTGTTTCACGATCTGGTGTTCTGCAGCTCGGGTTTAACTTCAGTATGCCAGGACCATGGGAATAGGTGTCTAGGACTTTGGGCTTTTTAGTTTAGTTTCGTGTTTTTTAGTGCTTCTTGGCACCTGTGTCTTTGAAAGATGCAGTAAAAACAAAAATCTGTGTACCTGTTACATTTCTTACACTGTCCAGTTTTTCATGATTTTTGCCACTCGTATGCATTTCCAGCAAAAGATCTTAAAATCCTAAAAGCTCATGATATGCTTTTCTCCCCAGCTGCAAAATGTGCTCAAGGTTATAAGCTTAATTTTCTTTTGTGTTTTTTCTATTCCCACTTTTACTCAGTCTTTTAGTCTTTCTCTTTCAGGTGCTTTTCTGTTTAGTGTTTTTAGTTGAAGTTCTTTGGATTTTGTTTAAAGAAATTGAAGTGTAAAGCAGGTGCACACTAGGGTGTTTCTGGGAAGGCAGAGAGATTTCTAGTCAATCTCATCTCCAGGAATGAATTTTTGGCCCTATTTTCAAGGAAACTTTGCCACCTGCTTTCATGAGGTTTGACCTTGAGATGCACAATTTCATAGTCCAAGAGGAAAATAGTTATTGACAAAGTAATTTTTGTTAAGAAAAAATCTCTCCCTGAGATAATTCCAGTTAGTTCAACAGAAATCTTTGAAATTTAATTGCAAGATGTTGAATTTAATCATATTTTTAGTAGAAGCCCGTATAATGAGTTTGTTTCTAAGGTAATGTGGCCCTAGTAGCTGTTGCTGCATTCTCACCCTGATGAAGCCTTTTTAAATATAGAATGCTCATACAAAACAAATATTTAGAACATAAGAAGGGCTTGTAAATATTAAAAAAAAAATCCAATAGGTTGAATATCTGCAGTCATTTCTCATTTTAATATCTGTTAAAGCCCACTAGTTTCCAATTTTTAATATTTAATATATAGCTCACATTTTGATGATAATGCTTTGTGTTTGTACAAATGGTGAAGAAAAGATTAGCCTGTGGTTTAGTGTCTTCTAGTCATGGGGGGAGGGTAGCATTAATCTTAATGTTTAAAGTGATCCAGTTTTGAAATGATATATTGTGTAGAACCTGACTGAAATTCTTCTGTAGAAACTCTGTGATCAGTGGGGTCCTCAGGTGCACTGAGGCACTGAAAAGCTAGTTTTCACTGACACATAGGCCTTTTTATCATCAGGATGAGGTAGTGGTCGTATTTTAATTAAAATGTCAGAACAAATACTGTTGGAGTTATTGAAAATGAATCACCAGATAAAGTGAGCACTGGGCCATGGCAGGTCAAAGAGGCAAAGTCACCTGGAGAAGAGGACTCCATTCATTTTCCTGCCTAAATGAGGAAGAAGTAACTTTTATGAGCAATGTGAACTTTTAAATATATTAAAGAGCATCTTGCCCTGTAGTAAGGCTCAGACTTTCACAGGCTGATGAATTTAATTTATATTTCAAATTGTTCAATATGGTTAGCACCTATTTTTTTTAAAGTATTTGACAGTTATAAGAAGATACTGAAAGAATAGCATAGATTTATCTTTCCCTCCCCACCCCGCCTTTAATTCATCTGTTTTAAAATACTACTCTGAATGTCATTGTTATCTAGAAGTTTCTTCCTTGGACAGAAGTAAATCTTGCAAGGTCTTTTACAAGCATCATTTATTTTAGGGAAGCTAAAATACCAAAAAAGGGACAGCAAATTTTCCAAATAAATAGTATCTACTAAGGTTGGGACAAATGTGGTGTATTCCTGTGGCGCCTTCTGCGCCGTCCAGATGTGACCTTCCTCTGCTCAGAGGTTTCCCTGACTGCATGCAGAGGAACTCCATGTAAAGTACAAGGAGCTGCAGGAAGGTGCAGGTGATGGAGAAGCCAGCGTAGGTTATGGTCACCTCATCTGCATAGTGAGTACTGGGAGTTCTACTTAGACCAAGCGTCTTGGTGCTTGTCTTGGTGATATTGGTTCTTCCTTAGCATCCTTTGTACAGAATAAATAGAACTGACATACTGGCAGAAAGCAAACATGATTGAAAGCCCCTCAAAAAAAAAAAAAAAAAGAGTACAAGGTAAATATTGATAATTTCATTAATTTACCAATTCTGCCTAGTTTTAAGTGAAATAATAAAAAAGCATGCATTCAAGGACTTTTTTTTGGTTTATATAAGTCAAAATTTGTAATAATCAAGCAAGATGTACCCTGTCAAGTGGTTAATTACAAAAATCCTTTCTAGAAATCTTATAAAAATAATTGTATTAGAAGTATAGCTAGTATAGTAGGCCTTTTGAAAATACGTATTTATTCTCTTATTACAGTAATTTCATGCCAACAAAATGACTTTTAATGTGCTAAATTCTGTATTTTTTTTTATTACACATGAGCACTGATTATTGGAAATGTCTTTTCCTTTTCAGAGACTGAAAATGAAGAGGTGGACAAACCCAGAGTGCTCTGGGCTGTGTACTTCAACATGAGAGACTCTTCAGGCATCGACAGAAGTTCATACGATGGGTTGCCTGCAAACGTCCATGTCTGTTCTGGACCTGACTCTGCCTTAGGAAACGACTGTGCTGTCAGACAGGTTGGCAACGTAACTGTTCTGCTTGTAGAGCTTTTCATTCCAGAGGCCTAAGGAGGTCCCTTTGGTCTTTCTTTTGTTTTGCATAATCCTGTTTTATGCTAGGTAGTTTAATATTAAAAAAAAAAAATCTACTTTGTGGCTGGACGTACGGAATCATTACATAGTAAGGAAGGCGAATGACAGTGGGACTGTGAATGGAAGAAACTTCAGAAAAGGACAATTAGCACTGAAAAATTACCTGCCAGTGCTTATTTAAACCCAGCAACAAGTGCTTTGAAATCAGAGGTGAAGAGTGAAAACCCTCCTACGCAAAACTAGAGGGTGAAATAACCTTCTCCTCTGTTGTCAAGAGGCAGGTGCTGAGGAACCCCAGGTTGTGCAGGGCGCTCAGAAGGTCACGGCTTCACGTGAGCTTCTCACAGAGTGCTGGACACTCGTCCCAGGGGGCTCTGAGAGCTGACACGTGAGGACACTGCTACGGCTTTATAGGATTAACTGCCTCTAGTAATTCTTAAATCTTTTATTTTATTATTTTTAACGACACTCTTCAGAAAAGGTGCCTGCCGCCTTCTAACTAGTTGTGGGCCAGGGAGGGTTTTATGGCTACGTCATAAACCTCTTACCATAAGATTTTAAAATGGAAGGCTGACATAGCCTATAGGGTCAGAACAGTATAATTAAGGGTTAATAGTACCCTTCATTTTGCTTTACAAGGCAATAACTTGCCTCCCAGGAGGATAAAGGATTATAAAGATAAAAGTAATGCTGGACAATTACTGTGGTAGCAGTTTTAAGTTGTAAATGAATTTCATTAAATTGTTATTTTTTCTTTTTTTCTTTAACTGTTACCATTTAAACTGCAAGTTAATAGCTATTTAAATGCATGTAAAAACAAATTTAGAGATCAATATAGTTCGCACAGTAGTCATAGTACATCTTACTTAAATCATCCTCTTTCTAATTCTATAGTCAGCCATCTTTTCTAGCATTCAGCTTTATTTTCGCTTAACAGCCTTCTTCTTATCTCTACAAGTAATGGTACCAAGCTGTGTTTAAATATTCCAGGTATTGTAGTTTGCCCTTGTGTGGACTCTGACTGTCAGCAAGGTAGATGTGAATTGAACAGATATCAGAAGAAGGGATCAAGAGCCTGGCAGACTGGCTTTCAGAAAGAGGAAAAGTTGCATTTCTTGGATCCATTTAAAACTTTGCAACAAGTACTAATTTGGGTGAAAAATACTGAGTGCAGAGCCTGTCCTTCCAGACGAGTGGAGGAGGGAGGCATCCCCCGTGCCCCTTTGCAAACCACTCTCATCATCCAAGCCATGAGATCAAAATCTCCACATCAGATTCTTGCAAACTTTCGCCTCAGAATATTTTAAGAAATGCAGTGAATATGCATTATTCTAATGTTAGAAATAGAATTAATTATACAAATTAGATTCAGTTCTCCAAGCAGTTACAGTGTTAGGGGTGCTTTCATGATTTAAATATACATGACCATTAGTGTTGCTGATTTCTGTATGTCATGATCTCTGACTGTATTGATAAATTATTTAGAAGTGACAGACCATGTTTTTTGCAGATTATTCATCCACAACTCAGTGTGCAAGTGACTTCTTACTTTAATTTCGTGTTAAATTTCTAGTATAATACTGATTTTAATTTTGACATCTGTATTTACTTGCCCCGAGGACAGGCTAAATGAAATGCAAAGTGCTAATTATGATTTCCTCAAGTCTTCTATGTATGGATCAAGTAAAGAATCTGGTTTCCAGTGTCTTCATTTTTCCACTGATACAACATGACGTGATTTATCTTATGCTAAAATAATATGAAATGTTACCTGAAATATTTGAAATTTCTAAGGCATTCTTGAGTGCATAAAATGAAGTACTAAAATGCTGTGCCAGTCCTTGTCCCTTCCCATGTTTGTAATCCAGAAAGATTACACAGTTAAAAGATTGAGTCTTGTGCAATTGTTAGTTTGGTTGTATTCTCCATAAATAAAGTTACTGTGAAAGCCCATACAGCTTGTATGTGTGCCAGCAAGATGCTCATGGTAGAGTAAAATGTGTACAAGACATGGTAGCTTTATGTGAGCACTTTAACAGTTATTAAACAAGAATATCCGTGCAGGTATTCTGCATGCTTGTGTCTTGATGCTTACCTCAAACTTGCACATTTGACAACTGGTAGCCTTAACAATAAAATATTGGAGAAACTATTTACTAAATTAATTACTTACGGTAAGTATCAGAGTGTTAGAATGAAGGGGCTGTTAAATTATTATTGGTTATTCTGCATGACTTCAATTGCATAAGGTTAACTTAAAAAATTGGTAGACCTGAAAGCACTATATACCATTAAATTGTTCAATTATAATCAATGTCATGATGTCCTACATCGTATACTGAGGATTTCTATCCATATTCAACTCATAATTCTTGACCATTTTTGGACTGGGTATTCCTTGACTAATTGGAGGCAGAATAATTTGTTCAGAACTATGTTTTAAATGTTTGTCTGCTCTGGTTTGTTTAGTGCAAAGTAGGCTACTTCACTAATACTCTAGTAAATATATTTAAATATATATTTTTGGAGTTACAGGGACAAATGCAGACTTAATATTAACTAAAAGTGTTTTCTTATCATCAGAAGCCTAACTTTATGTAGGAAGTATCATTTTTGCACATACCCACTGTCCTTTCCCAAGTCTATCCAGCAGGGTTTATAGTTACAACAGGTGTACAGAAGTACAGCGTAACATTTTGGGCTTGTTTCTGCATATTCTAATCTACAGGATTAAAATCCTGGTTTTAAATGTTTTTAAATGAGTATGGAAGAGTGAATTTTAGGAAGCAGAATGAAAAATAAAATGGAGCTGAGGCTGGACAGGGTCATTTAAGCAGTTAAAAATGGAGCCCTGCGTCTGTGCACTGGTGATAGAAATGCGGTGCTGGTGGGCAGTGAAGTTCATCTCAGGAAGCTGTTTGGTACATGCTCCATGATGTATTAACCTGAAAACTATTCCCTCCTGTCCAGAAATTCACATCACATCATCAAGCTTTGAAGTTGTCATTACCTGACCCTGCTGCCACCCCTTTCAGTGCAGTGGCTGGTATTAGTGTGGATACAGAGATTAAATGTATTTTTTGCCTAGATTGGAGCTCTCGTTAGAGGTCCTCATTAAGGCATAATTTACTAAAAGGACAAAATCAAGAGGCAGTTCCTTTTCACTTTGTAGAAAGCCAAAACAGCATTAGAATCTCTGACTTGTGCCTCCATTTGCCATAGAAAGTTAAGGACTTGAAAGAGAAAACTTGCCTTTATGATATCTTGAGGTGCAAGTTGATTCGGAAAATAAATTTCTAAGCGTCCCCACCCCTTGTTTAAAGAAAATAAGTCTGCAGATAGGCTGTCTTATGCAAATAACCTATTAAACAGTTTAAGAGTAGCTAACAGAGCTTGCAAAAAAAGTTACTGCTTCATTTTCAATGTAGAATGACTACTATTTAAAAAAAATCTATACTGATTTTCATAGTAGAGCAACTTAAAAAGATAGATTGCCTGTGTGAGGAATGGGTATCTTGTGTTAATGCTATTGTTGAAGTATTAAAATGGTGATTTGAAAGAAGAGAGTTTAATCTTAAATATCAGTAAAATATTGTTGCATTTGATGGTAATATTCATATATATGTATTTTTTTTTCCTGAATAGGCTGAGGCTATTTTCCAAGAAATGTTTCCTACAGAGGAATTTTGCCCACCACCACCAAATCCAGAAGATACTGTGTATGAGGAAGAGGAGCTTGTGTCCGAAGATTCGGGGTTAAATCATGCAGCAGAGGCAAAACCTGAACCCTCACCTGAGGAAGGCAGCAGTGAGGGGGGTGCTGCCCTTGAGCCAGAATACAGTGAGGGATGAGGTAGCGCGGTCTTCTTGGTAGAAGAAGAGGTTGACCCAGACTAAAGAATAGGCAAGGAAGGGTAAGGAGGAAAAAAACAAAACAAAACACCAAAACGGTTTTAAAAGAGAAAAAGCTGTATTATTTGTTAGCGTTATCGTTCTTATTTTGAATATGCTCTTTCTTCAGATAGTTTCACTGGATTCTAAATAAAGGCATAATCAACCAGATCAAGGATCTTAGTAGCTAAACAAAATTTGTAATATAAATTGTTAATATTGAAAATAGCAAAATACAATTTTTTTTTGAGAGAGAATTTGGGTTTGTTTTATGTTTTGGAAGGACTCTTCCATCTTTTAAATAGGCATAAAATTAGAACTAATGAAAAGAAAAAAATCTGCAAGTGTGCTTACAGATCTGAGGATGATGCTCCAGTATAAGTTATCCCCGTTCTTCAAAGCCCTTGGGTCTGTTCTGATGCAGCAGCTGAACGTGGCCTTCATAAACTGCCCTGCCAGGACGTAAATCCTTGCGAGTGGAAGGTGAAGGCTGCACTAACAACTCAGGGGGGATTTTTAGAAAACTTGATAACATATTTGATTTGTATCATGAAAAAATTCCTGTGCAGTTTTGAAACTGATGACCGATGTTATACATTAGAAGGAAATATAATCAACAGATATTCCTTGCATTTTACATGCAAAATATTACTTAATAAGATCTAACTGTTGCATGATCATACTTAATTTATTAATGACTCAATTTCCTTAATGTCAGGAAAATAGCACTATTTCAACTTAATGCTAGTCCTCTCCACAAAATTAAGGTTTATAAGTGAAGCATAGCTGCATTTGTTTGGGCCCCTGATAGTAATTAATTTTTGCAAATTTTGTGTCTGAGAAATTTAGATGATGATTAATTGCTGTGGGAGGGGAAGAAGGAGGTCATTCAACTGATTATAACTCCAAAGGTTTGTACTGATCCCGGGTAGTAGGATTAAGATTAGTGTTATAGTTGTGAATTTTGCATTTTGTAATGGTAAATCACAAAGCATATTTATACAATAAAATTTATTTAAGTATTTATAAACCTAGTTTGTATGAAGAATTACAAAATGAGCAAGTTGTTGTAAATGACCGTGATAGACTTGTGTCTCTTCTGAGCAATGCCTGAAATTGCATATTCTGATAATGAAAAATATTTAGCTTTTACTGTAAAATTTATCTTTAAATATATACCCAGTAGATCAGCTGTGTATCTGCCTATTTCAGTGAATTCCAGAGTAGTATTTAAGGAACATATGTGAATGAAAAGGCCATGAATAAAATAATATTCAGCACTGCCTGAAAGGCGTAGAGCTGGGTGTTTGTACAGTTTTCCAGTGCACGTGCCTGCCCTTAAAATGGCTTCGTGCCATAAAGGTCAATTTATTTATTTTTTTACGGCATAACTGACACCGTTAACTTCCCTTTTTGTCTTGCATCATGACCCACTGTCCAGCCTGCATTTCAGAAGTCAGTATGTTTGTGTTTACATTGTGTGTTTAGCGGATAGGCATCGCTGTATGTAATTCAAGTCCTCAGAAAAATATGTGGCTGAAATGTTTCCAAAATTGAGCTACATTTATCTTCACATTGTGATTAAGCAGTTATTTATATGTAGTGATAAACAGACTGCTTCTTTGTTTAGCTGTAATTTTTATGTGTACTGGAAAGCATGAGTATATGGTAATTGTATGTAACATCTCCAAATCTGTAAAAGAACTAAGTGGAGGACCTGGTTCATGTTTGTTTTTCAGTAATAGGGATCATAGTTGGACTTTCCATCTTCAGTGTTTACAAAAAAATGTTTGATAAAAATTAAAGGTTTGCTTGCAAGTGCACTTCTTTCTGTGTTTTCTTTCAATTATGCAGGGAAAGCAGGTCATTTGTTAAGAGAAACACCCGAAAAGCTCAGCTGCCTGCTTTCCTAGTATTGGCTTGTGTAGTAAGATTGAAGTTTACCTGCGTGACAGGCTGTTTATGTATCTTAGCAAGTTTATGTAAGGTAGCCGCCCAGTGCTCTGTGTGCATGTGAGGCAAAAGGGTGGTAATTCTGCAAATTTGATTTTAGATGAAGCAGAATAATGCAGAAGCTGTGTGCTTTACACTAAGTTGGTTGCTTAAAAATTGTTTTTGCGCTTCGTTCACATGGTGAATGGAAATACAAAATGTTTTTCCTGTGGTACTTGACTACCCAATCGCTCACTTGCAGTAGCAACAGATAAGACTGTTGATCTTTTTATTTTATGGAAATCGTGCATTGAACTGTATTTTGTTCTTGAATTAAATGATTTAAGCATACAAAATGAGAGTTAGGCTTATTTGAAGTATTTTTAAGGCTTGTCACACAGGATGTATTCAAAAGATAACATGACTTTTTAAAAACTGGCAATTTATCTGTAGGATTATTAATAAATCAAGTTAAAGAAAGATAAGGTTAATTGAATTTTTAAACAAGTAGCTGTATTATCCTTCAAGCACCTTGGAGCTCATACAATATTCACACCTTTTTTTTCTTCTAAGGAGTGCTTTGATATGTTTGAATTCCTTTTTTAATGAGTACTTTGGTTTTAACTTTAGTTAATTGGATTAACCCTTAATATTCACACAGTCTATTTCATGCCATTTTCTGTTCTGGTGTTGCATTGCCTTATCTGTAGGACTGCAATTAGTTACCCTTCCTTTGGAAGGTGTTTGCAGCCCTGAAGCTGCTACGTCTGCTTTTTCTCGTGGTGATGATGCCGAGGGCCATTTGACAGGTAATCGTTAGAACTGAGATGCCTGCAGACTGTGGGGTCTTTTCTCCTATCATAGTAGGGGGATTTATATGGGTAACTCCTGTTAACGTTAATGGGACTTGCATGTGTAAATCCTCCTTGCATCAATGTGAACATTGACCCTGGGAAGAAAAGAAAATCCGCTGTGAAACTTGCTGATTCAGAAAGGCCCACGCAGTGCCCGGCGCTGCGCGTGCCGCGGTGAGCGGCGCAGCACGTGCTGGGCTCTGCCACCGCGGGAGGTGCTCCCCACAGGTCATGGGGAATTTTGAGAGGTGTCGATACGGTGCTCTGTGCTAAACCGTGCCCATTTTTGGAACCCTTCCACATCCAGTCAGTGTTCTGCTTGCAGCTCTGCATTCTTACCTAGCCGGTGTTGCTTTTAGTGTTTGCATCCAGGAGGTTGCATGGTTGCTTTTTGTTTCAGCCTTCATGGTACTTAGTCTTCTCACCCTCCTCCAAATCTCTACACATCAGCAAAGCGTGTTGTAGCGGCTTAATTTTGGGAACAATTTGCTGGTAATCTATTGATTAATAGCAGATAGCAAGCATTAAAATACTGTTTCCACACAGTAAGAGACTAGTTCAGCAATGGTCTATAATCTCAGCAGTTGAAAGGATAAAATCTTTCTCCAGCACTTTTCTAGACTGGGAGTGGGAAGACATGAACTACCTGCTTTCCTACCAATGATGGAAAGAAGAGAGAAAGAAGCAGATGGGAATAGCTGAAGCAAGATTGCTGTTGTGGGGAGAGGAGGATGAAACGGGGGCTGGTTGTCGTAACCTTCATGCTGCAAGATTAGGTGTGCTTGCACTTGTGTGTCTCCTTCCACTCTGTGAGACTGCTGCACAATTTCAAACTGTTTATGACTTGAAGGAGAAAAACAAAAATGTGCTTTGAGGAATGAGACCACAGCAATTAACCAAAAAGGGATACCGCATAAATAGAGTACTACGCAACACCTACACTGGGGAGCTTGTACCATAAAGTAAGAAAGCAGAAGAGCAGTGAAGGGTTGTAAAGCATTCCAGTAAACTTCTGCAAAAAAGAAATTCCATTATTCCCATGATTTTGTGTTTTTTTTTTTTTTTTTTAGGTACTGGATGGGATCAATGAAATCTGTTCAGTGGAAGGGCAAGACAAAGTGTTTTGAAAAAGGCAGAAAATGGAGGAGATGAGCAGGAGTTTTACAGAAATCAGAAAAGTCTGAGAGAGAGGAGTGTAGCAATGAATGAACAAAAGGTGCACATCAAGTAGAAACGAGAGTAGGAGAGCAAATGCCCTTCAGATAAAAGTGTGTTGGAGAACCCACAGATGTTGCCCTGGTTGTAGGGTGCCTTCTCGAGCCCATTTAGCTTTCTCTTGCTTTTGCCTGCTTTTGAGAAGTGGATCCCTGAGTTCTGTATGGAAATGCTCTCAGCTCCAAAACATCAAAACTCTTAAGTGAGCTCAATCTTCCACCTTGCATGTCATGATTTTTGTATGTGCTATTCACAATCATTGGGTTTAATTCCAGTTTGAAGTTTACAGAGCATTTATTAATCAGTCTGCAAGTTAAGATTATTCCTGTCCAAGGTAGAATATTTTGGAAATTTGATTTCAGTATCACTGATGATGAAATAAGAAGCTGAGCGTGGAAACAGAAATGGAGTTATAAATTTATTAAATAAAAAGTGTTAGAAAAATACACTAGTTGCCATGTAAGTAGAAAGCATGAACTAAATAGTCTTAATAGTCCTCAGTAGAATTCTAAACAAGTAGTTTAAAATAAATCTCAGTTGATATCATGAAGATTTGTACCTCTTTGTTGTTGGTTAAATTAGTTCAAAATTACATATATGTCTCCATGACTGCAGTGGATGCAGGAATTACTGTGGTCAGACTAATGGTACCAGCGTCAGCCCTGTTGTCACTAATATGTGTTTAGACAGAACAAATAGTTTTCCAAGTAAGAAAGCAAATTACTGATGACACATCATAAAAATTAATTTTTATGAGTGTGTGTGTGTACATAAACACATGTGTGTGCACTTAAGCAACTAATGCTAATTAGTGTCAAAATAATTCATAAAAGTTTACATTTAAACCTTTGCAGAATTCAACCAGTGTAGAACACCCAAAAGTTGAAATCACTTCCTATTATCAAAATTGTCAAATGTGTGGAAGAGTTCTGGTAGAGAGGGAATTGCTTGCACCCTGTGGGTAAGTACTGATTATTAAGTACCTTTGATAGAATGTGGAAGTAGGTGGGGGGACAGTAGAAGTTTGAGAGACCAATATTAAATATTTGTTTAACCCAATGTAGAAGCAAAATTGGTTCAATAATAGTTAAAAGAGCTTAAACAAGTTAGGTGTACTTTCAAGAACAATGCTTTAATGCAGTAAGAAGTTACTATATACATATAGATAGATAGATACTTTCAGCTGTAGGGATAACTAGCAGAAAATTGCCCACCGTGTGGAATTCATGACATCACTTTCAAATGTAGAAAAAAAAATTACTTTTGGTGGAAATAGAGCATATTAGCAATTCTACCATTATATTTATTTACAGTCTGCCAGTTCCCACTAATAGCAGTGACTGGTTTCTCAAAATCTGGATGGGGAGGCAGGCAGGAGTGCTGTAAATCTCAGTGGCATTTGAGATTTAGAAAGTTGACAGTGAAGTATCAAGAAGATGCAGTTGTTGACTGCATGGGAGTTCTGATCAGAGGAGACTTTAATAGAAAATGTTTCTCCTGTCATAATTCTAGCAGACAATATATTTTACGCTACTTGCATACATTGACAAAAAAAGATGGAAGGTATCAACTTGAATGTATATCAAGCCCCAGATGTATTTGAGTGAACATCTTCAAAGACAATAGCAGACTCCCAGTGAATATAATGCTACTCCAGTGGCAGTTTTATGCATGTATCTTGTAAATCTTGTGGAAAAGCTGCTTTGAGAGTGGTGTGAGGTTTTTAAGTGCTTAGTATGCTGAATTAGGTCTTCACCTGATTTTGATTTTCCTATTAATTGTCAGTTGCTGTAATCTAAAGTATTAAGCATCAAGTAGAACCAAAATACATTGTGGCAGTGTTCTGCTACCACAAGAGGTATGGTGCCAAGAAGTGGTGCCAACTCAGACAGTGCTGATTGGTAGAAAATATCAAAACATGCACATTTTTAGATAGAGTTTTCGAGGACCATGTACTTCCTCTTGAAGTACTGTGCCATAATGCATAATATCTCTGGGTTTCTGTAAAAGGCTTGAGTGCTGTTCCTCCATTCCCTATGGTTGGTATGTCCCACTTAATAACTTCATTTCAAGGGCTATTGACATGTCACCTGTCTCCTCCTCAAACAGAGGAGGCTTCTCCTCTGAGGTGTTACTGCATAGTCACCGTTTGTGGCTAACAGATGTGCCCTTAGCTGCGTTTTTGCTGCTTCACTTTCAAGAAACTTTCTCTGGTTGAATACCAGTATTTTTAACTCTTTTTTCTTTTGCTGTAAACACAGAGCTGGCCTAAGAAATTGTTCTCTGTTGTAAGTGCTGGCATTCTTGATCCTGAAGGTGTTAGGTTCATAAGACTAGCACAGTAATAAAACAGCTGAATAATTGAAGCTTTGATTGAAGTTCTTTGATGCTTCCAGACTAGTTCACAAAGCAGGTGTTTGCAGTTGGCAAGGTGGTATCCTGTACCTCAGCTGAACATCTAGGCAGGTGAACATGCGTTTTGCTCCTGGGTAACTGGAAACTTGGGATCTGGAAAGGGATAACTCACAAGAAAAAAATCTCTCTGTACCTCAGAAACTTTGTAATGGCCACTGTGGAATTTTGAAACCATTGAGTTTCAAACCCCAGCATATTTCTGGAGCTCACCCAAGGAAAAGCCATTTAATCACGATGAGAGACCAGCTGTCAGACCAATGTTACAAAACATTTTTCTGCTCTGGGAATTTTTCAGGAGCGTGAAAGTCACTGCTAGTCATGGTTGAGTCCTTTTTTGTGAATAAATTATCCAATGAATTCAGCACTCTAAAATTTTTTACACTCAAGAATTTTTGTAAGTTGTAGCTAGGTACCTATAGTGAATAATTTTGGCCTGTAGATTATTCCCAGATAATCCACTATGTGAGTCTTACTGTGATGAGCTTCTTAAATAATAGAAATCTCTATTGCTGAAATAATAGACCAAACTTAATTTAAAAATTACTTCATACATTTTAAAGACAAAAATAATGCTTTTAAGAGAAACAATAAAAATTCTATTTATCATTATTGTAAAGTGGTCTCACAGTTATATTTTAAATACATATTTAGCTCTGCTAAGATACTACTTGAAATGCAAAGTGCACAGAGTATACGTATAAAAATTTGCTAGATTACTTCAGCTGTCCTATTCCAGTGTCATCTCTGAAGCAATGTCCGAAAATACGTTGATGTGTCCTGTTAAAAATGTAATAACGGGGGATGAAACAGTACTCCAGTGAACAAGCAGTGGATAATGTACTAGGTTTGGGTTCAAGAGAAATGGGTTTATTTTTTGTCTCTGGTACTGTTTTTTTGAATGAATGTGGTTGAGTCCTTTCCTGTTAATGTCACAGTTACAAGATGCAAAATAGTGTCAGATATTTTCTGAAGCTTTTTGAGAGATCAGTGAAATATAAAAGTCATACAACTTTGAAAAGGAACATTAAGGATAACTGTAAAAATGGATAGCAGGAACACTGAGAAGAGATGCAAACAATTTTTTTGTGAGTAAAATCAAGCGTAACTGTTAAAAAAATGAAGGGATAGCAGATGTTTGCTTAGCCAAGTCCTATTTTCCATCACTGACATGTTTTTTGTTTCACAAGTAAGCTTTCACCAGCCTGCATAAAATCTTTGTTTACTACTTATTCAAAATCATTTAAAAATAACATAAAATGACACTTGTAGTTTCAGCTGTCAGTAATCCAGCAAATCTGAAAAATACTGTCACATGTGCTAAGTACCTATTTTTATAAAGATTTTTTTCCTAGAGCCTATTTTCTCCTTTTGTCTGAGGAAGAAAGAAATGGACTGAATTAAACAGGCATCTTAGAAAACTGGGATCCCTAGTGTGAAATACTGTCCTGCTTGAAGTCTTTTAAGAGTTTTAACAATGAGTTAAATCAAAAATTAAAATCAAAACCTTATCCAAATTTTTGTTCTGTAGTGGTGCTTATAAATCAAATAATTAAACAGTTCACCTTTCAATCTCATTCCACAAATACCACCTGTTACCTTACTCTTACCACCTGCTTTTATTTTATCTGCGGTTACAAAGCACAAAGTAATGGTGGGATTGGGTCCTCCATGTCATCTCTTGCCAGGTATTTCTCGCCTGCGGGCAGCGCTGAGGAAAACACAGCGCGTGTCTCCTCTGTGAGGTGGGTGCTGGTGCTGGGGGAGAGCAGGAGGACGAGGACGTTTGGGGGCGCAGGGCTCAGGTAACGCCACGACATGGCGGCCTGGCCTCCCGGCACGGCCGGCAGCACCGCGCGGAGGAACCGCTGCCTGCAGCGGGGAGCGGCAGGGCCTAGGGGGATTTTATCAGGCTTTTCTCATCCCACACTTCCATGTGAATACACTTAGCTCTTTCTATGAGAGCAAAAAGCATGAGAATACCATGATAACTGTTTTAATTTCCAAAGCCAGCTTTTACTTGAACAGAAACAAGACCAGGAAGTTACTTTTAAGCAGGGAATGAGCTAGGTCCCTGAGAAGGCCAAAGAGCAATAAAAAGAGTCTCTACACAAATTTCCCACTATTGTTGTAGGCAAGCCTTTTCTTTGAGCATAGTTCTCAAAAGATGGGTGTAAAATTTCTTTCAGTCTTCTCTCAGTTACTGAGAAAGGCTGTTTTCCCTTGCAGTGGAGGCATGGTGGTGTGTTTTCTCCCTTCTCTCGCAGTCACCATGCTAAAAGGGCTCGGCTGTCCTCTCCTTTACCTTGTGTTTGAGATGTTTTTCTCTCCCAAACATACTCAGTTACTCCCAAGGAAGAAAAAATCTCCCTGTCTTCCTCGGTGGTTACCTTGTCCTTTCCTTCTGGAGAAGTTAACATAAAAAAGTAACACAAATCCGTGGTGCAATGGAACAAGGCTGGCACAAGGAAAGGCTTCAGCTTTATGTGGGTCTTCTGAATCTCTTGAAACGGCACCTGATAAATGATGTTTTTTCTCACCAAGGATAGTGGCTGCTGAGAGGAAGGGCTGTTGTGTCACCTCAGCTTGCAGTTTGTTTTGGCAGCTTTAACTTTTAGTGAGCTGCTGTTCTGAGGTAGTGTTGACCTGCTCCCCTTGCCCAGTGGTAGCCAAATGTAATCCTGCATGTAGATTTTGGCATTTTGTGGATTCTTAGAGGAATGTGAGGTAAGTTTTGAGTTCCCTCTATGCAGTGTTGTGGCTGTGTCCTTGAAAATTTCGTAAAGGAGACTAAAAACAAAATTAAGAAAATTAGTCTCTGAACTTGACTGTAGTTTCCACAAACCAGGGGTGTGAGAGGTGGTTCCTTCAGGAAAGCTTGTGCTGCCCTGTCTGTGAAGGAGCTTCCTTTAGCTTGCTGAGTCTCGTTGGTTTTATAGATGCTATGGTAGGTTCAGAATGTAGGACTTAATCTTATTTTTGTTAATCAATAGATATCTTTCTCACAAAGCCACTTGAAAAGGGTTTTAAAGGATTATTAGAATTTTTGGGTTACCACAGATGAATTCATTCTTTTTCACTGAATTGCAACATCCTATCTGTTGCTAGTATATTAATAAAATATATGAAGTCAGTCTTAAAGTGTAGCTCCTTTGTGAAGAGACTTTTTTTAAGCATAAGCAGCAAGGATTTTTCAAAGATGCATATTTTTCTCAGAGTAATGTTGCATACAGACTGGAGATTGCTTCTTCTATTGAATTGCATAATGAAAAATCAATCAGTTTAATGGTTGACAAACTTTGACATTCAAATGAAAATGTTGCTGGTATTTTCATAAAGACCTGTAGGCAAAACTAGATTCAGTGACTTTAATTTATGCAATAGTAAATGTCTGCCAAAACATTGTACAAATGACTGTATAATGAGGCAATAATAACTGAGGAATGAAAAGAAAGCAAACAGAAGCCAAATTTCTCAGTTTCTACACATTATATAAATTCAAAAAGCCTTTCAATATAAACTATGTGTATACATCATCCTTCTCAATAAATTCTGTTTTGAGAACAATTTCTCAAAATCATCAAAACACATTTGTCTGACACTGATGTGTAGTATCAGACTAAAGAGTTTAGATTGTTTTCTGCTTTTCAGTCTTCTACCTTGCGTTTTGGAAACTTCTTGACCACTTCGCACCTTCCATTGTACTTTGGACAAACCAGCTGACTAAAAATGCCTTGTTTTATTTTCTTCTTTCTCTGAGGAGAGGAGAGCTTTAAGAGAGGTATTTCTGTGAAAAAGAACAGTGAAAAGATTGACAAATTACCGGATTTCCGTAGATTTTTTGCTGCCGTGTTTTTAGTGCATGTGATTTTGGGGGGCAGGCTGCTGCCTGAAAGCCCAGTATCAGAAGAAGAAACCTTGGTTTCTGTAGTTACTTACTAGGTGCAAGAGCAGAAGAAGCTCCTAGCAGCTGCTGATCCCTCCTGCAATCTCTTCCAGTGTTCCAGCATTGCTCTCCCAGAGCCCCATGGAGGAGGCAGCAGACTGGCTCAATAAATCCCATTAGCCCCTATCCTTGCTCAGGCGTTGACTAGCTACAATCTTCCAACAGCGTTTAGTCGCATACACTTATTCCTCCTTCCTCACACATTTTACCTATTGTCTTCCCTTGCTCTATTCCCAGATGCTTCCTTGCAGTTTCCCCTTCCAGTCCCAGGGTAACTGGATGATCCTTAGACCATCTAGAGGTCTGAACTGGGAGATCCAGGGATACAAGAAATGGAATTAGAAAATTGGTGCCTTGGAGCTGAGATTTAATGCAATCAAAGCAAGACTCCTTATATTAAAAGTTCCTTTTCCACGCATGTCCTTCGTTGTCAAAGTCCAGTTCTCTCTGTCCTTCAGTCCTCTTCTCATGCAGGTGGTAGTATATTTTGACTGCAAAATTTTGACAATGACTGGAGAATCTTGCCTTGTTTTCCATTTCCTAGCATTGTTGGTTACCTAAATCTTTAAGCATCGTACAGCTTCCTTCCATCTTCACTCATTTATGCTGTTGAGGATTTGGGGTTTTGTTTGTTTTTGTTCTTTTTAATAATACCAGTTTGTCCAGTTTCTTTGTCTGTTTTTTCCTTTGTGTGTTATACTGAATTTTGAACAGCTTTTTGAAACTATTTTTTTAGTAAAGTTATTCCTCTGAATCCAAGAAATTAACTAAACGTTACTTCCTTTGCTTTGTTTAACAGAGCATGCTTCATCCTAGTTGCCCTAGATTAATTTAACTGTCTTACTCCAGTTGCCCTTGCTACATCTGCTTTGTTTTATTTCTTGTTATGGTAACATAGTGACTTTTTCAGTAATGTGTGATGAACTCTGTAGTACTATATTAAAAATGAGTTGGGCGACTTGAACAAATTATCACTTGTTACTCATCGTTGCATGTTTTTTACTTCGTTTCTCAAAGGAAATAATCCTTTTTGTTTCAGGAAGTCCATGGGAATTAATTCCCTCTTCCTTCTATCAGATTAATGTTGATAATTATGCTATTTATAATCCACCTTTATCACTCTTCTGATTTTGTCTTGATATAATGAGTGATTTTTAGTATCTCTGTTTTCTAACCGGCAGAAACAAGCTGAAGAAGTTAACTGATTTCCCTAAGGCTCAGAAGGAGTGTGTAGCAGAGTCCAGATTAAAGCATTGCTCCCACTTCTTCCTTCTAGCGAAGGTTAGAGATAAGCTGCCCTATATGCCTTCTACCTCATGCAGTAATTAGTGTGGTGATCTCCTATTGTTTGACCCAAGAGTTCTCTCTTGAGAAGCCTTTAGTATATGCTTTATTCACGAGCTTTCCATTACCACTGATGTTAATGATGAGGCAGGCATGAAGCTACATGTCTGTTTCCAAGTTAAAAAAGATGTGTTTTTTTTACTGTAACCCACTGTAGTATTTATTGATTTTGTTTCAAAAATAATTAAATCTTCAGGAGGGAAATATTATCCCATATTTTCACTCTGGAAAAGCTGGCATGCCATGAGAAAGATACCCCCTTTTCTAAGCAATATGCTGAGTGTGTGAACGTGGGCCTGTAGGGCCATGAGGATCCGCCTGTCCCACGAAAAACACGGTAAGACTGTGGACTGCTGACATCAAAGTAGAGCTGGCCTAGTGGCTACCATGAGCAAGGAGCAGGCATGTGCTCAGGTGTTTCTTTCTCTGTCCTGGGTATGGATGAATTCTAAGGCATAGGAACTCTAGTACTTAAAAGCTTAAACTGTTACTCTAGGAGTGGTCTATTTTTTTTCCTTTTCTTCTTCTGTCTGCTTGGGGGAATTTATATTTCTGATTGACACCAGAAATGGAGGGAGCAAACCTTGCACCCAAAGAGCAAGACAATATTTGGTATTTAATGTAAGATAAACATGTGAATTAAAAGCTCTCCAAAGGAAAGGTTGAGCAACTGATTGCAGTTGCTAAACTGCACAGGCAGCAACTGATTGGCATCTGCTAAAGTAGCTTTCCTTTTGTGGTTCCTGCATTTCATGCATTGCTAAATGTTATCCACAGCTATCTGTTGTATGTGGCAGTGAATGATACAGTATGACAGCTCTTCTTCACTATTCCATAGCATCATTTAATTCAGTAATAAGCTTCTGCATGTTTTATCTATATTGTCTCTTTCCTAACTGTTAAATAAAAAAGTGATTAAAATTGATAGTGAATTCTTCCCAGTGCCAAGTTCATGAGGAAGCAGCTCTATGAACTGAATGAGTTAATATTGCTAATACAGCAACTCCTTTCCATGCTTTGTGTGATGCTGCACTAATATTTGAAGTTTCCATGAGCACATGGTGCATTCTTAGCACTGACATTATGCAGTTGTCAGCACTGCGAGCCCTGCTGTTCTGCACATTATCTACCAATATTAGTCTATTATTTTCAATTCTTTGTTGTAAATATGTAATATTTAATTCTATACACAGTACATTCACCATGGTTGATAGATACCGATGTGCATAGAATTCTGTGTTTGTATTCTGAGGTTTACCATTTTTACTGATGGTAAATAATAGGGATATTTTCTTTAGCAAAATAAATATTTTTATTTTCTGTCCAAAAACCATGGCAAAATCGTATGCTGCTTACTGAAATCTCACTACAAATCATTGCTGTCATTGCCATAATAGTATATTTTTGTAGTGACTGCATGCATTCTGATTCTTCATGATTCTACCACTGTTGTAAAATTAAAAAAAAAAAAAAAACTCTTCAGAAATTGTTGTTGATGTTACTTGGTAACACATGAGCTTCCCTTTGTTGTATTTGGTTATCTTGTCAAACCTCTTAAGCAACATTAGTCAGTAATAGGTTTTATTATTTGTTATGA